TTTTTTCTTTTTGCTTATGTGGTGCTGAGGAATCGAACCCAGGGCCTCATGCATGCAAGGCAAGCGCTCTACCACTGAGCCACCTTCCCAGCCCCAGCAAAAAGCTTTAAGTGGAGGTGTGACTCAAATGATAGAGCACCAGCTGTGAGGTAAGAAAAAGCTGAAGGAGAATGAAGGCCTGATTTCAAGTCCCAGTACCAGCACAAACTTAAGTAAGTAAAATAGTAACTGACTCAAGATGTCAAGAATTTGTGGATTACTGTAAAAAATACTGTTGTATTTCTTGGTAATGTCAAGAATTTGTTCTGGTGTTTATATTGTTTTGTAATTCAGGTATATAACTGAATGTCTACATAACAAACTCAAACTTTTCATTTTCAGACATATAGTGCTTTCTGTGGGAGTTATTGAATGCTTTTATGTCACAGAGGTTATTATTTTTAAAATTAAAAATTAAATTAAAAATTAAAATTTTATGTTTTTGACTATACTTATGATCTTATGAATTGCTTTTGAAGCATATTGCTGTTTCTTTTTTATTTTTTTATTGTAAAAGTAGTGTACAGAGGGGTTACAGTTACATGAGTAAGGTAATGGGTACATTTTCTATTGAATATTGTTGCTGTTTCTTTAACAAGGCCTATACCTATATTCATACCTGAAAGAATGCTTAATGGAACTAAGTAAATTTTTTTTGTGTGTCAGTTGTGGGGCTTGAACTCTGGGCTTGGGCACTGTCGCTCAGCTCTTCAGCTCAAGGCGAGTACTTTACCACTTGAGCCACAGGAGCACTTCTGGTTTTCTGGTGGTTTATTGAAGATAAGATTTCATGTAGTTTCCTGCCCTGGCTGACTTTGAACTGCTATCCTAAGATCTCAGCTTCCTAAGAAGCTAGGATTACAGGTGTGAGCCACTGGCACCTGGCAACAATGTGTTTTAAGATTAAAAGTTACTTAAGCTGGGCATCCATGGCTCACCCCTTGGTTGTCTTAAGGTTGCTTTAGCATTAGAGAATAAAATTTGGTATGATTCCTGATATGTTGTAGATCATTTTTTATGTAATTCTACTTGAGTTTGGATTTATTACATAAAAATGATCAAGATATTAGCCAGATGTAATCACTCAAGCCTGTAATCCTAGCACTTGGGAGGTGAAGATAGGGTTATAGTGGTTTTAAGCCAGTTTGGCAAAAAGAAGTTTATAAGTCCTCATCTCAACCAATGACTAGGAATAATGAGACATGCCCGTTATCCCAGCTGTCATTTCTAGTGATAAGGGAAAACACAGATATAAGGATCACAGTTTAGGACTGCCTGGGAATAAAATGAGATACTTCCTAGAAAATAACAAATGCACAAAGGGGTTGGGGCATAGCTCAAGTGGTAGAGTGACTGAGTCCCTACCAATGCACGGTCCAGAGTTCAGTCCCTAGTACTGAAAAAAAAAAAAATCATGAAATCAGTTGTTAGGTTTACAACATTAATTTGAAGAATTGCTTTATCTATTATCTATAGTTTTTTTCTTCATTGTGTTGTCAAAATAAAATTTTTTCTAAAGTAGTTCTTTGGGAAAAGGGCCATTGAGTTTAATATTAGTTTCCCAGAAATTATTTAAATTAACACTTTTAACTTTATCTTTCAGATCTCAGGAAAAATGAAGATAAATTGAATCATCATCAACGAATTGGGTTGAAGTAAGTTGAAAAAAATTTGTCTTGATACTTGAGATATAACAATAAAACTGGGGGCTGGGAAGGTGGCTCAGTGGTAGAGCGCTTGCCTTGCATGCATGAGGCCCTGGGTTCGATTCCTCAGCACCACATAAGCAAAAAAGAAAAAAGGCAGAAGTGGCGCTGTGGCTCAAGTGGTAGAGCACACTAGCCTTGAGCTGAAGAGCTGAGGGACAGTGCCCAGGCCCAGAGTTCAAGCCCCATGACTGGACCCCCCTCCACACACACACAAAAAAGAAAAATATACAGTACATTATAGTTACCTTGTTTTAACTGGAATCTATTACTTATATTTATGTAGTTTTGAGGTGCAGTAAACGGATACCCCTTAACTTAGCAATAGATTGAAGTCTACTTTTAAAACATGCACTAACTTGTATTTATTTATAATATTAAACATACTTACAGATGAATTTAGATGTAGTCTCTGGAATCTTCCAAAGGTTGAACTTCAGGATTTTGATCCAGTTCAGGAACTGATGCATTCTTATCATATGCCCCAGTTTTGCTTTGTTGTATGCTCAATGAATTTGCCTTTTTTCTTTTTCTGGTACTGTGGATCAAACCCAGGACATTATGTGCTTTGCCATTGAGCTACATCCCGGTCTGAATGTCTTTTTTTTTTTTTTGTCGGTCATGGGGCTTGAATTCAGCCTGGGCACTGTCCTTCAGCTATTTAGCTCAAGGCAAGTGCTCTACCACTTGGGCCACAGCGCTACTTCAGGTTTTCTGGTGGTTTATTGTAGATAAGAGTTTCACAGACTTTCCTGCCCAGGCTGGCTTTGAACTGCGATCCTCATATCTCAGCCTCTTGAGTAGCTAGGGTTACAGGCATGAGCCACCGGCGCCCGGCTTGTCTTTTTTTTGATGATGATGAGGATGCCCTTGGGCATGCTAGGCAAGTGCTCTACCACGGAGCGCTTGCATTTTAGTTTAAATTTGTGAATAGGACTGGAACTGTATAGTATACAATGTAGTTCTGAAAGAATTTTAAATTGTATAAAATTCATTTCTACTTATTCTATCTAGATATTTTGAGGACTTTGAAAAAAGAATCCCTCGCGAAGAGATGTTACAAATGCAAGTAAGATGCTGAATTGTGTTCTTTTGTTATTATTGAGAGAGTCACTTGATAGGAAGCCATTTTTGGAATACTGACTTAATTTTTCTTCTATTAGGATATTGTACTAAATGAAGTTAAAAAAGTGGATTCTGAATACATTGCTACAGTCTGTGGCAGTTTCAGAAGAGGTAACATACTTCCTGATCTTGGGTTACTCATGCCTTGATGTTAAAGTTGCTTAGTATGTAATAAGAACTTGGATTAAAAGACATAATTTTCCAAGCACTAGTGGCTTGTGCCTGTAATCCTAGCTACTCAGGAGGCTGAGATCTGAGAATTGCTGTTCCAAGCCAACCTACGCAGCAAAGTCCTGAGTCTTCTCTCCAATTAACCACTAAAAATCCAAAGGTGATATAGTGCCAGCCTTGAGTGGAAAAGCTAAGGGACATGCCTATAATCCTAATCAGGAAGTTGACATCTGAGGATCACGGTTCAAATCAGCCTGGACAGGAAAGCCCATGAGACTCTATTTACCAAAAAGCTGGAAATGGAGGTGTAGTTCAAATGGTAGAGTGCTAGCCTTGAGTAGAAAAGTTCAGGAACAGTACCCCCATCAAGTTCCAGGACTAGTGGGCATATGCACACATATGTGTGCGCGTGCTAAGGGACAATGCCCAGGGCCCTGAGTTTAAGCCTTAGTACTAGAACCCCCTAAAAAAAAGTGTGATTTGTGTGTTACTTTATATAATTACTAAGATCTATAATATTAGCTGAGTTTATTTGTTCATAGATTGGAATATATACATGTGTGTATAAATGAATAGATTTAGAGGAAAATTATACTATTATTAAATGCTAATAATGGTTGTCTGGATAAATGTTTGTAAAACCATGCATCGTTTTGTTCAGTTTTAATTTTTTGTTTTTGTTTTCTGTAATGGCTGTAAGAACAGTGTCTCAGAGGACCAGTTAGTTCAAAGATAATTTTGCAATTGCCAGATTTTTCCAGATCTTTGTTTGCTGTGATTGCAGACAAAGTGAGAGCCACATGATTCTGATTTCTTAACTAGCTTATAATTTTGCAGGGCTAATATAAGTTTAAAATATTAACTTTCAAAGTTGGAATAGACAATATTTGGGAGGGGGCGGTCAGTCTTAAGGCTTGACCTCAGGATCTGGGCACTGTCCCTGAGCTTGTTTTGCTCAAGGCTAGCACTCTACCACTTGAGTCACAGTGCTACTTCCAGCTTTTTCTGTTTATGTGGTACTGAGGAATTAAACCCAGGGTTTCATGCATGATAGGCAAGCACTCTGCCACTAAGCCACATTGCCAGGCCATGGAATAGACAAATTTTACTTAAAACATGTTAGAAAAGATATCTGGGCCAAATCTATGGCCTTTGGTAGAATTTTGTCTGGAAATTGCCAGGCTATTAGAAAAACTCTGGAGATAGCTTCTGTAAGAATGTAGAATTGGGAAGAAAAATGGATTAAATTCATAATTGCTGATAAATAACAAGAATTTGGGGTCAAAAGACCCCAAATCTACTTTACTACTATATTAGATTTTAGGTAAGTCTGTCTTGACTGATCCTAGTGTCCATATTTGAAAAATGAAAGGATTGAAGATAATCAGTTATTCAAGGATGTCTTTGTTAGAAACATTTAGGAAGTATAAAAAACATCTACACATTATTATGCCCTGCCACAATCTAGTAATTCAGAATCTCCTTAGGTGGGATCTTGGAGTGTGTGTGTGTGTGTGTGTATTTTTCTGTCTGTCGTGGGCCTGAACTCTGGCCCTGGGCGCTGTCCTTCAGCTCTTCAGCTCAAGGCTAGTGCTCTACCACTTGCGCACCACTTCCGGCTTTTTTCTTTTTGCTTATGTGGTGCTGAGGAATCAAACCCAGGGCCTCATACATGCAAGGCAAGCACTTTACCACTGAACCACCTTCTCAGCTCCAGATTCTATATTTTCAAAATGAAGATTTTGGTGCACAACAGGCTAAGTGAATGAATGCTTCTTTGAATATGACAATCTTCCTAGACTTGTGTATTTCTATTTTATTTTTACTTTTAATTGCTGAGTATGTTATATGGATATATGCCTTAATAGAGTATACTTAGAAGTCTTCTGCCTTGTTTCTGCTCATTCTAACCTATTGTCTCATTAATACCTATTCCATTGTGAATTCTTTCAGTGCTTCTACATGAGAATAATTACTAAATACGACTTTTTTTTTTTTTTTGCCAATCCTGGAGCCTGAACTACTGTGCTCAAGGCTAGTGTTCTACTACTTGAGTCACAGCACCACTTCTGGCTTTTTCTGTTTATGTGGTACTGAGGAATCAAACCCAGGGTTTCATGCATGCTAGGCAAGTACTCTTATCACTAAGCCACATTCCCAGCCCGTCTTTTTTTTTTTTTTGGTCAATCTTGGGGCTTGAACTCTGGGCTTGGGTGCTATCCCTGTACTCTTCAGCTCAAGGCAAGCGCTCTACCTACCGCTGGAGCCACAGCACCACTTCCCGTTTTCTAGTGGTTATTTGGAGATAAGAGTCTCATGGACTTTTCTGCCCCGGCTGTCTTGGAACCATGATCCTCAGATCTCAGCTTCCTCAGTAGCTAGGATTTCAGGTGTGAGCCACTGGCGCCGGCCTCATTATTCTTTTCATAGCTGTGTAATATTTGATTTTAAGTTTATCATACTTTATCCAATCTTACTACTAAGAGACCTCTGGATTTTTTCTGTTTGTTTTCATTCTTTAGGTTTTATTTTCCTAATATAGCTTGTTTTGTCTTTTGCAAAAGAAATAAAATATTTTTGATGGTAGATGTGTGGTAAATGACAATTTTTAGGAGAAAGAAATAAAAAGAGAATAGACTTTCATGTTAAATTAGCTTCTATAAATGTCCTCTGGTCAGAACATATTTCATTTTTCTGATTAATTGAAAATGCAATCTCTAGGATTTTCTGCCCAGGCTGGCTTCAAATCTCAATCCTCTAGGTCTCAGCATTCAGAGTAGCTAGGATTACAGGCTTGAGGTACTAGCACTTGGTTCCATTGTGTCTTCCATATATTTAAATATAGTTGTCCTTCCATTTACCTATGATTTGGATTTCTGAGGTTGCAGTTAATCAAGAGCAATGAGTTTGAAAATATTAAATGAAAAATTCCAGAAATAGATTATGTATATTTATTTAATGTATGTATGTATATATTTGTTTTGGTGGCACTGGCACTCGAACTTGGGAGTCTCATGCTTGGTAGGCAAGCGCTGTACTGCTGAGCTTAATTTGTGTTTTTAAATTGTATACTGCTTTGAGTAATGTGATGAAATTTTCGGGTCCCTATCCTTGACAGGAGTCATCTTTTTGTCTAGTATATTCATGCTGAATGTGTTACCCATCCACTAGTCATTTCATAGCCATCTCAGCTATTAGATGTCAGCTTGACTGTTAAGTAATCATAGTGCTTGTGCTCACATAGCCCCTATTTTATTTAATTGTGTCCCTATAGCTTGAGAGCAGTGATACTGGCAATTGATATACACCAAAGAAAAGTCACAAAGTGCTTTCTTTATGTGAAAAGGAATAGTTCTTGGCTTCATAAAATTTAAGTGAAGACAAAACTTCATGGTATATAGCTTAAACAGCTGTATATAACTTGTCTGAATTATATGGTTGTAAAGATCAAACTGAAACCTAAGTCATTATAAAATGTTGTGTTCTTACCTGTGATCATATAATTTTTACTAATATTTACTAAATGTGCTCAGTCATAAGACTTGATATAAGACTTCTGGTTAACTTTTACAAAGTTAGAATTTATATTTAAATATATATATGTGTGCGCATATGTGTGTGTGTGTGTGTGTATATATATATATATATATACACCTGAATATTCTTTTTACTGTTGAATAAGTTGGTACATTTTAACATTAGGCATATTTTATACTAATGCAACATCTTGTATGCAATATATATATATATATATAAATAGATATAGCTAATGTCAATTACTATTGTTATCCCAGATTCTGCTGTCTGTATCAATATACCTGAATAGTTGGACAGAAAATTGAAATCTTTTAAGTAATTCTGAATATAAAGCACAGTGAAGTAGAAAGTTAGCCTATAAGAAGTAAGGCTCTTCTATGTGTGTCTTCAGTTTAGTTCTCTGTTCATCTAAATTGGTAGATCTACATTGAGAAGGTCTGTATATGTTTTTTGTTGTCATAGGTGCAGAGTCTAGTGGTGACATGGATGTTCTTCTCACCCACCCAAACTTCACCTCGGAGTCCACTAAACAGGTACCTCTATCTTGCACTATGGTCATTCTTACACAGCATGAAATAGCATTTTCTAAATGCTATTAAAAAAAATATTTAGTTTTGTTTCAGTGCTGGGGATGTTACTCAGGGCCTTGCGCAAGTGTCCTGTACCACTGAGCTGCATTCCTAGCCCCTAAGTTTTGTTTTAATCTTTCTGAGAAGTTTTTTTTATCTAAAGTATTTTATGCTGTTTCAATTCTGTTGGAAGCAGTATTTGTGGGAAGAGATACACATTTTTTTTCTTGTAGGATTGTTGGGCTTGATAATATTGGAAAAACATGAAATTTAAGAAATATTTCCAGAATTACTTACTATCTGATATATTTCAGAAATAGCTTAAAATTTTAGGTTTTCATTAAAGGCATATTTTTTCTATTAAAGTTCTGAGGGTCTTTTGTTAGAAAATTTATGAAGGAAAAGACTTTTTAACTTTGGAATACATATATATGTATCTATATACACACACACATATATATACACACATATGCTTATATATGTATATACATCTATTTATAAGCATATATATGTATATATGTATTTTCCCCCAAAGATAAAACAGCTGTTTGATTTAAGCAAATAAACTAAAATTATTCTTTTTTTGTTTTTTAAAATATTTTTTCTTTTTTATATACATTTTTTTATTGTAAAGATACTGTACAGAGGGGTTACAGTTACATGAGTAAGGTAATGAGTACATTGTTACCCCCTCCTTTGTTTTTCCCCTACCATCCTTTCCCTCCCTAACTTGTCTCTGTCCCCCATCCCCCATCCCTTCACCCCTCAGCCCCCCTCCCACCCCTCACGCCGGAAGTTGTAAAGTTCGTTTTCAACATAATGTCTTGTACATCTCATTGTTACAATGGGTCAACCTTTATCCCTATTTATGTGTTTTGTTTTTTCCCTTCCCCTCCCCAAATTAGAAAAATGGATATACAAGGTATAGGGCACCAGAATCAAATACAGTGAAAACAGGGGTTATACCATGGGGGAAGAACATACAAAAGAAACAAAAAAAAATCACATAAATATGTTAAAAACAACAGCAAGCAAGAAAAAAACCACTTGTGTCCCTATCTTGGCGTTCATTTCACTTAACATTATCTTATATGGTTATATGCACATAGCTTTTGGCCTTTTCTGCTTGTCATAGACATATACTAGTTATTGCAAATAAGGAAAACCATAGGACCTATATTTCTTTAGACCTGGCTTACAAATGGGGCAATGTCATTCTTTCTGATGGAGGAATAGAATTCCATTGTGTGTGTATGTGTGTGTGTGTGTGTGTGTGTGTGTGTGTGTGTATAATATATATGTATATATCACAT